AATATCAACCAACGAATTCTGCAATTTTGACAATTTTATTATAACGAATTCATATTGAAAGTTTGAATTAACGTTTGTACTATTGTGCCAAGATAATGTGGAATAGATAGACAAGATAATTTTCCACGCCATCTTGTGGAAAAAAGGTCACAGGGGCTATAGAGGACCTAACCTAACATGATCGAATAACCGGTAAATGAAAAAGAATTAGAATTTTAAAAAATGGGAGGTATTGTAAAAATAATTATAATATATCGAAAGAAAAATTGCGAACTGGAGTGATGAAGACGATAACGTTGAATTCAGTATTTAATAAAATACCCATACATTAGCATGTAACTTGAAAGTTACACAGGCCCATAGAGGGTTAATACGCGGAATTATACGTATACCGGGGACCACTAAATATATTTTTACCAATATTTTCACCAATATTTTTCTTACCAGTCAGGAAAAGTCGGTGAACATTGAAAAACGTCCCCATCACGCGATATTGTACTTTAAATTACGTTTCCTATGCCTACGCGGTATATAATAGCATTTTGCACGGATTTCTAGGGAATTTCTAGTGACTTTTTAGTATCCGTTCCTATTTCCCGGTAGAGAGGGTAGCGACGTTGATGGGACGTCGCGGGGAGGGAGTTTTCGATCGGATCTAATGTTATCCGGGCAATATGGCGGGATTTTTGCAAGAGGATCGAACGTGACCACCGTCACAGGCGGAAAGATGACGCGTTTCGCGCCGCGTCATTTCCATGCGTGAGGTTTATCTTGCGTTTCCGCGAGACGCGAGCGAGACGATTCAGCGAACGGAGATAAAGCGGGGTTGTCAACCCGTGAAGGGGCCGAGGAGTGCCGCTTCGAAAAGCGCGGGGACGAGTTTATCCGCGGACGACCGTTAGTTGTCAAATAACGATCGCGAACCTTTGCACTCGATTTCCTACAGCGATCGCTGGAATTCGTACTGGAACGGTGGTATTCCGGCACTCCAGTTCGCGTAAGAATTACGGTATGAATATTCAGTTACGTACTCTACGCTTTGTTCCATTTTCTAATTATTACCCCAAACTTTTGACGATTTTATTTTTGTTTCATGCGATTTTTGCGCGACGAAGATTCGACAAATTTTATGATATATTTGGACAGGGCTTTGTCAGAGCCTGTATGAGACCTTTAAACACTACTTAACCTAAATGTAAAGATAAGTAATATATATATGAATATATCTAAATATAAGGCACGTAAATAATACAAAAGAACATCATATAAATAATTAACCCTTTGCACTCGACGATTTTTTGGTTGAAGAAGAGTAGGAGTTCAAAGATTTTCTGTTATAAAGCTGACGATATTTTTTTGAGTAATAAATAATAATTAATACATGGATATTATAGTAAATATTAAGTAGTGGTATAGTAAATATTGCAGTAAATATTAATTAATACATGGAATTATTTCATTTCGATATTTCGCACACCATTACGTTATGTTAAATTTGACATATTAATTAATATCGAGCTTCGAAATTTTATCAAGTGGCGACTGAAGGGCGCCTCTCGAGTGCAAAGGGTTAAAAGGACATCAGACTAACATATTAATTAATATCGAGCTTCGAAATTTTATCAAGTGGCGACTGAAGGGCGCCTCTCGAGTGCAAAGGATTAAAAGGACATCAGACTTATATACCCTACCTAACCTAAATATAAAGACACGTAATGTATCTAAATATAAATATATAAATATATACATAGATAGATATAAATATATCTAACTATAAGATACGTAAATAACATCAGAGGATATCATATAAATAATTAAAAAGACATTAAAAATATAGGAAAACATATTTAATTACGTCTCTATCTAAATAAAGGTCGATATTAACCTAATCAAAAGACAGTACAGTGGGCCCTCGACTTTCGCACATAATTGGTTCCTGAAAATGTTGAATGAATGTCGGAAAATAATGTAAGAAATCTGCACCAAAGACTGCATTTTGAAGTATTTATTTATCAATATGTACACATAACGAAGTCGAAGAGGTGTATTTAACACTAAACCATCGTTTACCAAACTTCTGTTAAAAATTCCGCGTTCAACGTTATTATCATAGTCATTTTCTCAACGTCTGCCGTTACTCTATTCTTCAAAGCCTCTACTTCTTTTCTATTCACCGATCATTTGACCGTGGTAGGTCTAGTGATAAATGCTTTCGGGTGTTTTCTTTATAAACTTGTCAAGAGTTAGTCGAACACCACCCTTTCTTTTCTCTTCTCGAAAGAAAGGCTTAAAAAGTTGAATTTTTAACACTAGAACTACCAACCATTCAAAGTGACTGGTCCCAGAATTTTCCTTTCTGCAATCATCGAACACGTACACCTGCTTTAAGAATAAAATTGGTATCAACTCGTATTAACCCTTTGCACTCGGCGAATTTTTCGTTACAGAAAAATACTAATTCGAAGACCTTCTGTCATAAAATCGAGGATATTTTAAAAATAGCAAATAAGAAATCGGATGCAAATTAAGACGTAGAATTATTTTACTTCGATATTGCACGCATCGTTGGCTAATTGTAAATTTGATATAGTAATTAACATCCATCTTTAGAATCTGATTAAACGGTGACTGAGAGGCACCTCTCGAGTGCAAAGGGTAAAGAAAGAACCGTAATCAATATATTCACTCATATTCATCGTATCGCTGAAATTACTATAATCTGTGCACGTTATAGTTAGGTACCTATTAAAGATCGGTAGTTCTAGTGTTAAAAATGTGCGAAATCGAGGGTAATTACGAGAACGAGTAGATTAAACAGATTCGTCTAGCTCTCAATCGAGGAATTCATCAATGACCTATATTAGCGAAATATCCGCTGCTCTTAATCCTAAACACAGCCAGGAACCGACTCACCGTCTACACCGGTCAGCCCCACATCCCATATGGACCCCCTGACAGGGATCTCCCTCCCGTCAACCTTGAAACCGCAGATCAATCGTATTACGCGCCCTTCCACGGCATCCCTGATCGTGGATCCGCGAAGGAACCGTCAGAACGCGGCTGACTGCTCCCATACTCTGGTCTACCAGGACACCTCTAGTCTCGCTTCCCGGTGCACGTCGGAAGGTTCGAGACGCGGCGTGGAAGCCGACAGTCAGACGTCCTCTGGACTCGAGACCTCGAACGGAAAGCAGCGACACGCGACGACGGCGAGGAAAATGAAGCGAAAACGAAGAGCTGCGTGGAGAAGAAGAAGAAGAAGAAGAAGAAGAAGAAGAAGAAGAGGAAGAAGAGGAGAAAGAAGAAGAAGGCTACAACGTGGACGATAAAGAAGAAGAAGAAGACGAAGAAGTAGAAGAGGGGAACGCATCCTCGGGGCCGTCCTAACGGTAGGGCGGGTCACTGCACGCGGCTACGCGAATGCAACTCTTTGCAGTTGCACCGCGAGCGTCGGCCAAAGACTTCGACTGCAGCGTCGCACCGGTGCAATGCCCTACCTAGGTGTAACGCTCTCGGCTACCCTTGCACATCCTCGCGTCCTGCCTCGGCTCGCGCTTCTTCCTCGGCCTCCTCTTCCTCCTTTTCGCCGCCCGGCCGGCCCCCCGCTCCCCGCCAGCGCCGTGCCCGCTCTAACCGAGTCCTTGAACTCGCTCGCAGGGAGGGTGACGTCTGGGAGGAGGAACAGACCTCTCCTCCTTCGGGGTTACTCTCTTTCGCACCTGGTTGTCGCGCGTACCATCTCGCGCCGCAGATTTAGTCTACCTCTGTCTCGGCGTCCGATTCATCCTGGTCCAGGTACATTCCAAAGCATCACGCGGGAACATCGGTTCGTAGGGGTTGAAGGTGACACGTCTTGCCGATCTTCCGCTTCTTTCTCTTCGTTATTTTCATTTTAGATGCTAGCTTCCTCTTTTCGGAGGAGTCGTACGGTATTGGAGGTTCTAGGGTAGCTTTTCTGGAAAATACTGCCGATTTCTTACATTTTTTAACTTTTATGTAGGACTGTATGCTGATCTTTCGATCTTATTCTTCAAAATTTTCATTCTAGCTGCTAGTATCCCGTTTTCGGAGGAATCGATGTCAGGCGTGTATTATTGTAGCTTTTAAGGTAATTTATTGGAAGATATTGCCGATTTCTTTTATTTTTTAATCTCTATATAGAAGTATATACCAATCTTTTGCTCCTTCTCTTCGTGATTTTTATTTTAACTGCTGGCTTCCCCTTTCTGGAGGAATCGAATTGTATCGTAGCTGTTAGGGCAGCTTATTGGAAAGTACTGCCGATTTCTTTCATTTTTTAATCTCTATGTAGGACTATATACAGGCGAATGTTGAACTAGAATCTCGTTCTTTCTTTCGGATTTAGATCCGCGTTTCTTCTGACGCAGGCTTTCTTGCTAGAAACCACCGAGTTTTTCAGATTCTCGCATATCTTCGTCGAGGAAGTTTCGATTTACAGGTCTCCAGACCAGCTCACGGTACTCTATCGAATCTTCCGATAATTATCCAATGTTGAAAGACAACGTTATACATTATCCTTTTGTCTTATCATTATCCCTTAAGGCGTCTCCGACTTTTGGAACCCTAACGATAATGAAATCGGTATAAACAGTCGAGATCTTCAACGGGCCACCATTTTTCTTTTTTAACTCTCTACAAATCTGTATTTGCTTTATTTTATCTACTATATTTCTGTAGGAAATTTAAAATAGTTTTAAGAAATGTACGTAGAGTTAAGAAGAATCAGTGGTTAGAGAGTTACTGGTTCAGATCGAGAGTCGTCAAGTCAGGAGTTTGGTAGTAGCCAGAGTTAAAAATTGACAGTTAGGAGTTAGCGGTTTTTGGAGTGCAGTCGTCAGAGTTATTAAGTGAATTGTCAAATTGGCAGTCGCCAGAGTTAAGGATTGACAGTTAAGAATTAATTGTCGAGAGTTGTCAGATTGAAAGCTGAGAGTCAGTTACTAAGTAAGATCGGTAGTGAAGAGCCTAGTGAAGCCTTATCAGAGATTTACTAATAGTAATTTCGCGTTTAATACCTCACAAAACCACCCAAAAACCACCTTGATCTTACATAATTTTAGGGTTTCGTTTGGGATTCCTACATATTTTGGGGTCTCATCAGGAATTCCTACAATATATATAATCGTACTTATTTTACAATTAGAACCCATAATCCCAATCTATTTACCTATCTATTAACCTATCTATCTATTTTCGTTTGTAATATAACTGTATTACATTTCTTATTTTTCCCATTTTTAATTAAATTATTATTTCCCTAACTAAGTTATTTTACAATTTGAACCCACAATTCCAATCTATTTACCTATCTATTAACCTATCTATTAACCTATCTATTCATTTTCGTTTATAATATAACTATATTACATTTCTTATTCTTTCCATTTATAATTAAATTATTATTTCCCTAAATAAGTTATTTTACAATTCGAACATATAATCCAAATCTATTTACCTATCTATTAACCTATCTATTAACCTATCTATTCATTTTCGTTTATAATATAACTATATTACATTTCTTATTCTTTCCATTTATAATTAAATTATTATTTCCCTAAATAAGTTATTTTACAATTTGAACATATAATCCCAATCTATTTACCTATCTATTAACCTATCTATTCATTTTCGTTTATAATATAACTATATTACATTTCTTATTCTTTCCATTTATAATTAAATTATTATTTCCCCAACTAAATTATTTTACAATTAGAACCCACAATTCCAATCTATTTACCTACCTAATTAACCCGTCTATTTATTTTCCTTTGCAATATAACTGTATTACATTTCTTATTTTTTCTACTCTTAATTAAATCACTATGTCCCTAAATACGCGTGCACAGTGTGTTTTTCAACCAAAAATCTACAACAATCGGTTACCGCATAAAGACCCCCTAGGACCCCCGGTTCCCTGCGAAACTCGGAAGAATCGCGTTTCGCTGGAAGGTTCTGTAAGATTCTCGAAGATCGAGCACGGTGAAATTTTCGAGTGGATTCGAGGCTCCCGTTCGGAGCCGATCCAACACCGGGGGGAACCGATCGGAGGTGAAGAATTTGTTCCGGGAATCGCGACGTGTGGCCGACCTACAATTCCGAGGTACGAATTTCGTCGTATTCCGCGGCGGTGCACGGTGCGTAACAGTACTCCTACGTCTCTCGCGCTTAGAACGCATGCACACGTTCACACGCTTGCGTAGCGAGAGGTTACGTGCGTGCGTAAGAGCATGAATGACATAACGATCGTAGAGACGTCGGGCGTCGACCCTGGGCCAGTGCACTACCAGTGCACTACCAGTGCACCACGTTCCCGCCGGCATAGCCTTTTCTTAGCCAAACGCCGCCGATAACAACGCTTCCTACCTCTCTGGCCTATGATTGTATGAAAAACGACCGGGTTCTCACACACGGATTCATTATGATCGTCGAGCGAAATAATCGAACGATTAATCATCTCCTTTTTTTCTTTTTTTTTTTCCTTTTTTCTTCCCTCTTCCTTTCTCCACTCCTATTCCACGGATACTGGGTGAAGCCGTGCACAGCCAGCCAATGCTAAATTAATTCGGTTCTTATGGCATACGTTAGAGCGAAATAACGATGTTCATTAAATATCGATTATCTTGCATTTCTTGCGTTAGAATAATATCGCAATTATATCGCGAGCACTGGTATCGCTGATGTACCATACTAGGACTGCCGATCGTCGAACGATTATGGGAATGTCTGTCTGGAAATTTTTCCAAATTATTTATTAGTTTAATAATTACGAATATCCCGAGATTTGGAATTATTTATCAGTTAATGATCGGAGAATTTTTATTCTCCTCGAAAGGTGAGCGATTATTACAAATTACGGTTATTACGTAAAATTGATCAAATTTCCGAAGATCAATGGGATTTTTATCCACTCCATTCGTCTATTTACGATTTCATTAATGCAGGTGATTTAAGAGGATTTTTTAAGACTCGTAAATCAGTGGTATAGCATTCTTTAAGTAGAATACGGAAGCACGGGGTGATGTGAAAAGATGTTAAAATCGATCTAAATTTCGCGGATGTGTTCCCTCGAATCGACGTTGGAACGCTCTTATAAAATTCTGACAATGAGCCTGCATAACAGTACTCTCGCGTTTCTACGCTTACGCACGCTTGCGTAAGAGTATGAATGACAAAGTCATCGACCTGGGCCACTGCGTCACCGACACGTCGCCTGCTCAAAACAGCTCATTTGCAATCCTTGTTTTGACACGTTCCCCACCTCTGCTTCGTTCCTCTTCCTCTTCCTCTTCGACCCTCGCACCTGCGGTTCCGATCTTTTAAATCGACCTATTACTCATATCTCCTCTTATTAACAGATAAATCGACGAGTTCCATTCGATTTTCACCGATTTTTCATTTAAATCGTCGTTTTCGACCGAACATTTTGGAAGACTTCGTAATTTCGAGACTCGAGTCCTCGAAGAGTTATTATTGACAGGTATTAGCCCATTAACGGTTCATCCCGTGAAAGATTGCCAAGTACTATACACGGACTAATATTAGTAGAAAAACTACTACAAAATATAATTTTTTATGATACTATTTATGATTTTTTAATTATTTTCTTATTATTATTAAAACACGATTCTTTATATTATGTATTACACGTCAAAGTGATTTTGAATATTAAAAAATATGGATATTTTTTGGGTCTGAATTTGTAAGTTTACCACACTGTGAAGGGGTTGAGAGTTATTACAAATGGGACCTTAGGCTAATTTTTTCGTCATGCTTGGAGCGAAGTATAAGGAAAGAAAACGATTTGTTTAGTGACAACCGAGTTCAAATTATAATTTATATGGTTTATCGATGGGCAGAAAATTGTTAACTCTTTGGGGCACGCTGGGATTAAGTGTCCCACCTTTTTGGGGGGACATTTTTAGTCCCATCTGGAAATATTGCAATATCTGCATACGCATAGCTTCATATTTCGTCTTATTCACGTAAAGCAATTGGTAATATCTTCGATAAATATTATTATAAATGTATTCCCTTGTGTTTTATTCCCAACATTCAACATGGAACAGTGGGACTATTTCAGTCCCACCCTATAACAACAAAATCAATTATTTCATTATTATTCTTTTATGTTTATACATTTATTAGTAAAAATATACCAATCTTGTTTCATTTAAAACGCGATAAAATTTCTGTGCAACATGAGTGTATTTTATTATTCAAAATCCTGTGCTGCAAAGAGTTAAACTAGTCCCAATTATGGGGCCCGTTCGCCTTGGTAGGGGAAATTGAATCGTCGGTGCATCGAATTCGAGTCTAGAGTAACGAAGTTTCAATGAACCTAAAGGATAATTATACTTATCGCGAATCCGAACACCCTAAATCGGTGGTCCCTGCCGGGGTACCGTGGAAAGTTAGGGTTGCGGGCTCGTGACGAGGTTGCACGCTCGAGTGTAAGATTAGGATCGATTCGACGAAGTTTCGCGAAGTTATAGTTCGATATAGTTTCTAAATCGTAATTTTCTTTCTTTGCTATAACGTAGATAGTAATATAAATATAAATATAACACGGGTTTATTTTATTATCCGAAATCCTGCGCCGCGAAGTGTTAAAGGGGTGAGAGGAAAACGAAGCTCTGTCAAATCCGTCGTGTATTCGTTTTCGTCCAAGAGCCAGTAGCTGCTTTTGTTTTTCTGACCCAGATCGCCGAAAGTTCGTTGCCACCGCAGTGGCTGGCCAGTTTTGCTAGGTGAATGATCCTCGCGCGCGTAATCCTCCTCGAGGACGCGGCGTGTTGACACGTGTGGCCACCGATCCATTGCTCCGGGTAATGGCCCAGTCGGAAACCCGAGAACCAGCGAAATTTATCGAGACACGCGATCGAAAATTCAAGATGCACGATAGAGAATCACGTGGTAGAAGCTTTTCATGGGGTGAGCTCTGTCCTCCGCTCTCCTTCCGCGAGTTTCACACGCGTTTCGCGCGTATTACGTGTATCTCGCGTGGATGATCCTCGATGGAGATTAGATAGCTCTCGCGACGATTCTTCGGCGCCTGTCGACGATGGAATTTCCAAGCCTTTCGCGGTGTCCCCAGTGTTTTCTTTGGAGCTGGAGTATGCAATTCTAAAGTACGATAGTTTCCAAATTTTTTATTAAAAATTTGGGGGTGTAATTTAAAATTTGGGGGTGTTATTTAAATTTCGGTGTTGTTGTTTAAATTTCGGTGTTGTCATTTAAAATTCGGTGTTGTCATTAGCCCCCGCGATTTGTCAATAATTTACTCGATAAATGTGTTGCCAATTTTTCTATGTCTTCTGCTTTTCCATTTTCTTTGAAGCTCTTTACCATTTTTCTACCTATCTGTCATTTTACCGGTATAGTAATTTAATAGTAATTTTGTCGAATTTCCAAGCCTTTCGCGGTGTCCCCAGTGTTTTCTTAGGAGCTGGAGTATGCAATTCTAAAGTACGATAGTTTCCAAATTTTTGATTAAAAATTTGGGGGTGTAATTTAAAATTTGGGGGTGTAATTTAAAATTTGGGGGTGTGATTTAAAATTTGTTGTTATTTAAATTTCGGTGTTGTTATTTAAATTTCGGAGTTGTCATTTAAAATTCGGTGTTGTCATTAGCCCCCGCGATTTGTCAATAGTTTACTCGATAAATGTGTTGCCAATTTTTCTATGTCATCTGCTTTTCCATTTTCTTTGAAGCTCTTTACCATTTTTCTACCTATCTGTCATTTTACCGGTATAGTAGTTTAATAGTAATTTTGTCGAATTTCCAAGCCTTTCGCTGTGCCCCCAGTGTTTTCTTTAGAGTTGGGGTATGCAATTTCAGCGATTGTTTCCAAATTTTTGATTAAAAATTCAGAGGCGTCATTCAAAATTCGGTGTTATCATTTAACCCCCTCGATTTGTCAACAGTTCACTCGATATACATAATGACAATTGTTTCATGTCCTCTGCTTTTCCATTTTCTTCGAACCACTTTCCCATTTGTCCATCCACCTGTCATTTCACAGGTGTAATAATTCTATAATAATTTCTCCGATTTTAGTTTCATCAAAATGGAAATATAATTGATATTTACCTATCTCTATC